TACCTCAGCCACCACCGCCTGGAAGAAGGAAAATGGACTCTTCACCCCAACATCTTCAAACTAATATGTCAGAAATTGGGGGAGGGGACAGATGCGGATATCCTGGCCTTCAGATTCAACAACAAACTACCTTGGTTTTTTGCCAAATCCAGAGATCTCTATCTCTGTCATCAAAAAATCCCTGGGTCTTAGTTCAAACTAATCTATACCTTCCCTCCAGTGTGTATTCTACCTTGTCTGCTCCACCAAATAGAACAAAAGAAGAAGTCTGTTGTTCTGATTACCCCAAACTGGACCAGAAGAACATGATACACAGACATACTCCTATTACTAAGAGATGACTCCTGGGCTCTTCCCAACAGACCAAACCTATTCTTACGGGCCTTTGTTCCATCTTGCTTCTCAGTCATTTGCCTTAATAGCATAGCTGTTGAAGCTCACGTTTTAAGAGACAGAAGAGTCTCCTAGTTTGTCATCCCTACGGTGCTAAAAGGAAGAACAGCCACTTCCAGAAATATCTAGTATCATACCTGGAAGTCCTTCTTTACCTGGTGGTCATTCCCAGAGAATTCTCAGTACCTTGTATCCTGGCTTTCCTCCAATTGGGACTTGACCAAAACATAGCCATAAACACCCTGAAAGGACTGGCTTCAGCCTTCTCTATTCTCTTTTAAAACCCACTGGCTTCAATCTCCCTTGTCAAAACCTTTTATACAAAGTGTTTCTTGAATTAGGCCCCCTTTGCAACACCCTTTTTTTCTCTCAAGGTGGCATTTCTAGTTGCCATCACTCTAGTCAGACGTGTTTCAGAATGAGCATCCCTCGCTTACAAGGAGCCATTTCTCATCCTTTACAAGGAAAAGGTAGTCCTACACCAAGGTGGTGCTGGACTTTAACCTTAATGAATAAATTGTTCTTCCATCTTCGTGCCCTGCTCTAAAGCACCCAAAAGCAATTACCTGGACATGTCAAAAATCATTCTACCTCAAAGCAACAGCTTCTATAAGGAAAATGAACTCTGTATTTGTCCTGCCCTCAGGATCTTGCAAGGGACACCCTGCTTCCAAATCAACCATTGCTCGCTGGATCAGACAACTGATTACTAAGGCTTACACTCTTAATGACAAAACTCCTCCTGTACTTTTACATGTCCACTTCACCAGATTTGGTGTTTCCTGGACATTCTGGCAACAGGCCTATATTGCCTAGCACTGTAAGGCCGCCACCTGGTCTTCTGTTTATACATTTTCGAAGTTTTACCAGGTGGATGTCCAATCCCCAGTGGATGCAGCTTTCGACCTCAAGGTTCTTGCAGCAGCACTCTTAAGTTTTGGTCTGTGGACCCTTTTGTTGCTGCTTGAAACTTCTGACAGTTTTGTTTGAAAAATTGATATAAAGCAGTAATATACGAGCGCTGGGTAAAATATAAAACATCAAACAGAATAAGCAGCCAGCAAAATAAGAGGAAATACCTTAAATCCTCCAATAGTGTACAAAATAATCAATAAAAATGCAGCGCTAAAATGTACAGATTAAAAATACGTAAATAAATAAAAGTCTTAAAAGTAATAATAAAAAAAGGTGCAATGTGATAATCGTGGTTCATTAGATAGCTGTTGAGTTATCGTGACTTCCGTGGCTTGTGAAGAATGAGTATATAAGGCACTAACCAGATAGCACAAAATTTTGTGCGTTGGAGTAAATAAGACCTACTCCAAGGTACTCTGGAAACCGGAACTCTGCAAACAGGTGAAGTCGTCAGGTGGAGTTGAGTCACCAGATGTCATCAGACCAGGGCAGATTTCCTCATTCCAGTATAGTGTATAATCATCATATTAGATGCATCTTGTAGTACAGGTTTCAGCTACCGGGGGATCATACACTTAAGTGTGAGTCGCCTACTATGGTGCACCTTGAAGGAGGGGGGGGGGGGCTCAGAATATCCCAAAAAATGAGCCCAGAAGAAAGAAAAAGCTCCAATAGTGTATTTATTAGACAAACGGAGTTACAATTCAAATCAAGTAAAAAACGGACACTTACATCCAAGAGTAAACAGAGTAGCATAACAGGTCAGTAATCCATGTACAGGGGGGTCTCCCTAAAACTGTAATTCTGAGGAAAATGGGTTGTTCCAGACATTGTTCAGAAGAACAGCGTACCTTGATTAAAAAGTTGATTGGAGAGGGGAAAACATATAAAGAAGTGCAGAAAATGATAGGCTGCTCAGCTAAAATGATCGCAAATGCTTTAAAATGGCAACCAAAACCTGAAAGACGTGGAAGAAAGCAAAAAACTACCATTCAAATGGATATAATAGCCAAAATGGCAAGGACTCAGCCAACAATCAGCTCCAGGAAGATCAAAAAAGGTCTAAAGTTACCTGTGAGTACTGTTACAATTAGAAGACGCCTATGTGAAGCCAAGCTATCTGCAAGAAGCCCCCGCAAAGTCCCACTGTTGAAAAAAAGACGTCCTAAAGAGGTTACAATTTGCCAAAGAGCACATTGACTGGCCTAAGGAGAAATGGCACAACATTTTGTGGACTGATGAAAGTAAGATTGTTCTTTTTGGGTCTAGTGGCCGGAGACAGTTTGTCAGATGACCCCCAAACACTGAATTCAAGCCACAGTACACTGTGAAGACAGTGAAGCATGGTTGTGCAAGCATCATGATATGGGGATGTTTCTCATACTATGGTGTTGGGCCTATTTATCGCATACCAGGGATCATGGATCAGTTTGAATATTTCAGAATATTTGAAGAGGTCATGCTGCCTTATGCTGAAAAGGAAATGCCCTTGAAATGGGTGTTCCAACAAGACAACGACCCCAAACACACCAGTAAACGTGCAACATCTTCTTGGTTCCAGACCAACAAGATTGACGTTATGGAGTGGCCAGCCCAATCCTCGGATCTTAATCCAATAGAAAACTTGTGGGGGTGACATCAAAAATGCAGTTTCTGAGGCAAAACCAAGAAGTAGAGAAGAACTGTGGAATGTAGTCCAATCATCCTGGGCTGGAATACCTGTTCACAGGTGCCAGAAGTTGGTTGACTCCATGCAACACAGATGTACAGCAGTTCTCAGAAACAGTGCTTATACAACTAAATATTAAGTGATTCAAAGGAAAGCAAAATCTTCAAACATTTTTCAGTTTATATAGTGAATGTTTGAGTTTGTAAAGAAGAATACAAACCCTGCTATTTTTTTGAACTAATATTCACTTTTCTTATTTTTTTTAGAGGAACAACACAAAATTTGATATTTTTTTCATGTTTTGATTTGGAATAGAATGTGTAGTGTTCCCAATGCATTTGTGTGTATGGAAATAAAAGCCATTAGAAGGATTTTGAGCTTTATTCACTTTTTTCAACACACTGCTATTATTTTGAACACAACTGTATATGCGGTATATCGCATGTGATTCGCACAGGCTCTAATTGCACCTGCACCAAAAATGTGAAAATCTGCAGGACCCTTTTTTGATCTGCACTAGAATTAGATTGCATGGGTATTCACACCTATGCGATCCGATTCTGCACATCGTACCGCGTTTTGCGGACCACTTTCAGGGTGTTGTCTTAACATACACACCCGCAGCAGTTCGCATGAACGGGGTGCGAGTTTGATACGGTGCAGAATTTGCACAGAAAATGGTGTGAAATCCGGACCGCGTCAGTGTGAACCAGGGCTCAGAACAGAAAGTGGTAGGAATCTGCAACAAAGTTTGTTAATCCCCTCTGAGTGGGGTGATCAATGTACATTGGAAGGATTTTGTGTATTTTCTTTTTCTCAACAAAAGTGGAGTTACTGTTTAAAGGTGTACTTATATTTTCCAGGTAACAAACCTGCCTTTAATTTAGATCATTAAAATTAACACACCATGTAAATGTTATGTGTCATTTGTTTACATATACCACCTTTATCTGATAGCCACTATATGAATGAAGATACAATATTTGCCTGATCAAAAAGGCAACATTTTCAATGGGTTGTACTTTACTTTTTCACATGGCTGTATCATTATGTGATTGACTGCCTCTCAGTCATTAATCATCTGAAGTTGAAAGTCTCATTCCTCTCATTTTAGCAGTGTGTAAAATAAAAAAGAATCCAGGATCAATATGGTTTGAAGCTGAACTCCAGCTAGGTGCAAAATATACCAATTCCTGTAGGGATTTGTTTGCATTAAAATTACATTTATTTTTTAAATAAACAAATCCCTACGTTTGAGCTGGCATTAGCCTTGTACAATCCCCCATACAGAAGAGTTCAGACTGGAATAAGGAGAAGCAGCACAAAGAGCCAGTTCGATGTGTTGCAGTCCTCATGCTGGCAAGCAAGATTTCAACAGAAGAGAGATCAAGAGTCTTCGCTTCTCCTTCACTGTATAATAAAAAAGGTCAAGTCTCAAGGCTAACTGTGCTGTCTGACTAGGTTGTGTAAATCTCAGGAATGAAGGGTCAGTTTTTTTCTTTTTTTTTTAATGTGAATATAGCGGTTTACCTTGTTTTCAACTTTAAAAAGTAAAAACCATATCCCCCAGTCTTGCATTAAAAGGCCTATTATTTATTAAACCATAGGATAAGTCAACAAAGGCTCTTGTATAAAATGGGCCAGGCTTTTATCCAGAGCATCAATAAAAAAAAAAAAAACTCACCAAAAGATAAAATGTGCTATCAACACTCCTAGGAAGGGTAGCCATATACCCTGCCAGGAGCAGTGCCTGGCATAGGAAAACAGATGAGCTCATCTAGTTAAGGTTTAGTTGTTGAGGCTAAGACACTGTGATCCCACTTCCCAGCATGCCTTAGATCTGTTCAAACAAAGTATGATTCCATCATAACTTGTAATCTTTGGGCTAGTAATTCCCCAGCTGTGCAAATGTTTACAAGATGTATCTAAAACATTTCTTAAAGTACCTGAAAAATAGTATTACTTATGAGCACCTGTATGCCGCTGTCAGTAATATCCTGTTTTACCTTCACCTTATTTTCAGAATCCGCGGCTCCTAGATGATGTCAGTTTCCATCCCTGTGTCCGATTTAAACGCTGGGAATCCGAAAGAGTTCTGTCCTTCATTCCCCCAGATGGAAACTTCCGACTCATGTCTTACCGTGTTAGTTCACAAAAGTAAGTATGATGTACAGGCATACCTCGGTTTACAAATTTAATTCGTTCTGCGGGACTTTTTGTATAGTGAAAAATTTGTAAACCAATACACCGTTTCCCATAGGAATGCATTGAAAACCAATTAAGAAAAAAGTAAACGCTACTAAAATACCGCATGAGTTATTTTATCAAGTCGTGCTATTTTAGTAGTGACAACCATGTGTTAATGTTAATGTAAAAGGCGACAATTTAAAAAAAAAAAAATAAAACGGCGTGGGGTCCCTCCTCCCATCCATTAAATTAAAAAGAAAAAGGCTTGTGGGGTCCCCCCCAAAATCCATACCAGACCCTTATCCAAGCATGCAGCTCGGCAGGTCAGGAAAAGAGGGGGAGACGAGCGAGCGCCTCCCCCTCCCCTCCTGAAGCATATACCAGGCCACATGCCCTTAGCATTGTCCCCATGTTGATAGGGACAAGGGCCTCTTCCCCACAACCCTGACTGGTGGTTGTGGGGGTCTGCGGGCAGGGGGCTTATCGGAATCTGGAAGCCCCCTTTAACAAGGTGGCCCCCAGATCCCGCCCTCCCGTGTACATGGTTCCGATACTCATTCACAAAAAAGTGTAGTGTGAAAAAGACAGGACACGATCTTTAACAAGTCTTTCATTAAAAGAAAAAAAACGAAAAGAATATCCCCCTCAGTAAATCCAACGTCAATCACGATGGCTGCCACTGACCCGAAAAAAAAGAAGGGCTCTGCTTCCGACGATTCCGCAGTCTGCCTGCTCCAGTGGTTTGACAGTTCCTAAATAAGGGGCGCTGCGAGTGACCCCCACACCATGTGACGACATTTCCTGACCTGGCTGGCTGCATGCTTGGATAAGGGTCTTGTATGGATTTTGGGGGGGACCTCCATGCCATTTTTTTTTTTTTTTTTTTTTTTTTTAATTTTGTCGTGGGAGTTCTCTCTCAAAATCCATACCAGACCTGAAGGGCTTGGTATGGATGGGAGAGGGGACCCCACGCCATTTTTTTAATTTATTATATAGCCAGTTTAAATGTAATTACCACTTTTTTTTTTTTTCTTCACTATAGCTCAGACATTCAGCTGTCACTTCCCCCCCAGCTAAAAGAAAGTTTTTTTAGTTTTTCCCCAAGTTAAAAGAAACAATGTTTCCTTTTAGTTTCTTAAAAGAAACAAAGCTTCCTTTAACTCTGGGGAAAGTGACAGCTAATTCTGTGAGCTATAGTGAAGGAAAAAAAAAAGCTGGCCATTGCAATTAAAAATCAGCACTGACATACACTTCATATTTGTGGAAAAAAATTTGTAAACCGAGGCATTTTAATTTGTAAATCGAAAATTACGTTAACCGAGGTACAACTGTATTACTCGCCGAAGATTTAGGTCTCATTTACATTTTTGCATTGTGTTAAAGGCAGGCCCATGAAATGAATGGGTTGCTAACATCCTAAAAATCACGTGCTCCATTTTGCCTTAGTGCACCAACACTTTTGAGGACTTTGCAAGTAAGATTCTGTATGAATAGGGACACTCGGCACTGGGGATGGAAGGTCCAGACACTAAAGTGAAAGAATCTAACCACCGCAGTTCCTGAGTGATACAGGAAACTATTGGCTGATGAACTACATCAATACTAGACACTTTCACCCCCATCCTTCCCAGGCCAATTTTCATCGCGGTCATATTTTGCATAACAATTACACATGGCAACACTATACCTAAATGACATTTTTACCATTTTTTGTTTTCTTTTGGTGGTAGTTAATCACCACTGGGTTTTAATTTTTTTGCTAAACGAAAAAGTACCAAATATTTAAAAAAAAAAAAAAACTACGTTTCTGTAATAACATTTTGTAAATATTCTTTCTTCATAAATTTAGGCCAGAATGTATGACCATTTTTGGGGAAAGTAAGTAGACACAGCAAGGTATTTAGAAAGAGGCATTGTGAGTTTTTTAAATTGTATTTTTTGTCACAATTTTTTGGGAAATAAGAAATTAAATACATTTTTATTTCCACATACTGTCACCAGAACAGTGCAGCATCACCATATGACTATTATGGCAGTGATCAGGGACATTGACTGATGACAGTATGGCCATTGTTGACAACTGCCGTGATTCTTGTGATTGGTCACAGCGATTACATGATTCAAGGGCTGCGCACAGCGGCCGGTACAATGATTTGTGTTCTGCTGTGGATCACCGATCACACTGCTGCACTCCCCCTAGGGCGTGGGCATATAGGGCACCATATGAAATCCTCTCAAACTAAGTGCTCCTGCCCAGCCATTTTTTATTTATTTTTAAACATTCGGCTGGGCAGGAGGTAGTTAAAATCACCAACTATGCAAAACTGAAATACTGGTTTTGGATTGACTGACCCTACAGTATGCAGCTCCATCTTTACCAAGATTATACAAGTGCGTCTTGGTATAAAGTTTGTGGTGTTCACAACTAACTACTTTTTAATCCCCTATAGCTTGGTTGCCATTCCTGTCTATGTAAAGCACAACATTGTCTTCCAAGAAAGCAGCTCAAGTGGAAGATTTGATGTGACTGTGGGGCTCAAGCAGACCATGGGCAAGACTGTGGAAAATATAGTATTAACCGTACACATGCCAAAAGTGATCTTGAACATGAACCTCACTCCAAACCAAGGAACCTACATATTTGATCCTGTTACCAGAGTACGTAACTTTTCTAACCAATTTTATAATTAAAGTCAAGATTGGCAGTTTTAAATTTGTTATTTGTGGAGGTGGTCGTCTGACTTCCCAAAGGTTGCTGTGCTACTAAGAGATGTAGACCTGGTTTGAATATTCTGTCTGTTGTGAGAAGCCTAGGAACCATATTTTTTAACCATTTCAATACCGGGCAATTTTACACCTTCCTGCCCAGGCCATTTTTCACGTTTTTCAGCGCTCTCACACTTTGAATGACAATTGCGCGGTCATACAACATTAACAAAAAAAGACCAAAAATTTTGAAAAAAAAACAACACGTTTTTCTTTGTTTCTGTTATAAAAGTTTACAAATAAATAATTGTTCTTCATAAATTTAGGATAAGATGTATTCTACTACATGTCTTTGGTGAAAATAACCCAAATTAGGATGTATTTTTTAGTTTGTAGGAAAGTTATAGAGTTCACAAACTATGGTATAGATCTGAAAATTGATCAATCCTGAAGTACTGACAGCCAATCTAATTTATTGAGGTCCAAGAATGTCAGAATAGTACAGATATCCCTAAATGACCCCTTTTTACAGAGTAGACAGTCCGACGTACTTCATAAGAGGAATGGCAAGTTTTTTGAAGTTGTATTTTTTTTGTCATTTTTCGGAAAATTGTAAAAAAAAAAAAATAGTGAAAATAATTTTTTTATACTGTCACCAGTGCAGTACAGCATCATCATATAACTGGCATGGCGGTGAACAGGGACACTGACTGGTGACAGTATGAAAAAAAAAAAATTTTTTTTTTTATTTTTTACATTTTTTTTTTTTTTTTTTTTAATTTTAAGATTTTTTTTTCATATTTTACTATGACCAAAGTAGTACAATGTTACCATAGTAACATTGTACTACTTTGGGAAAGTGATCAGTTTTTTTTTTTTTTCGTTTTTTTTTACACAATTTGCTTATAGCAAAGAATAACTTTGCTATAAGCAAGCATTTACCTTAATGACATCGATTCATTCAGGTTTTTTTTTTTTTTTTGGTGCTTAGCTGTGATTTTGGCTACAGCTAATCACATGACATGTGCATGTGACCATTCACAGCTAGGCACTAGTATACAATGGATGTCATGAATGAAGCCATCCATTGTATACAACTGTCATGTGACCTGTCACAGCAGGTCACATGGTACCGGCAATGGGGGCTGGTACTCAGATCTGTCATCGGCCGTGTCCGAGGTACACGGCCGGTGACAGATCGCGCGGCTCTGCAACCGCGCGAACTGCGCATGTGCGGGAGGATGCCAAATGGCGTACACCCCGGAAAGCTAAAGCATTTTTACAGCCGACAAATTGCTATAGGCCGGGCGGCTAATGGTTAAAGCCAAATTTGAGGATGGAAAAAAAAAAAACCTGCCAGATGTCATCATTCCTCCCTTCTCCAAAACTAAAAAACTCTTTTATGCAAAACTAAAAAATGCTCCCTCCTAGACAATAAGTGGGCTATTGTAGCTATGCTGTGCCAAATGTCCCCCCTATGTAATGAGCAAACCCTGGCGCATATAAACTCGTAGTAGGAGAGAGCGGACAGCCACATTTTATGGCTTTTGGCCATAGTTTGATATCACTAATTATGACTTCTAACACTACAGACTGAATGCAAAATGTATTATTAGTTTTCATATGTAACTAACCATAGGTACTGTATGTCAGATTTGACATGGCTTTTAATGAAAGATATGGGGGATTTGGAAAATTGCAGGAGTTGATAGCAGCAGATATATAAGAACATCCATTAGATAAGGCGTATCCCATCATTATGACAGATGTTTCCATGTATGATTTTTCAGGACATATATAAATTAATTTTTTGGACACTGAATTAAATTTCTTGCCTGGTAAACCACCAGTGCACCATTACTAATATCACTGCCCAGTAGTATTGTACAAAGTTGTGGGAGATGAGAGGCCACCCAACGTAAGAGGATGTTGCAGAACTGTCTGCAACCAGTGGGTGTCTGACAATACTGCTACTTAGTTTATATGGGTCAGACAATTTTCTGGAGAAAGGATTGGGGTATTATGACCAGTGTGTGGTGAAATTAGATACAAGAATTTGGGCAAGAAGATAATTTTAATCAAATTAACTCTGTCTACTGGGCTTGAAGGGAGAGAAAGCGCTGGACTTTCATTTATAAATTGATGTCAACCGTTTCTTTCCAGTTTCAGAAATAGTGGGATGGGTTGGGGCCTACAATTCCTTTGTTACCACTGGGCTGAGTTTTTTTTTTTTTTGTGTGTAATTTCCTTTTTTGGAGATATAATAGTAAGTGGTCTCACCAATGATAGCTGTCACCAAAGTAGGTTCACCTCTACTCCCGTTAATATGACATGGCTAGCATTTTAAATTTTCCATCACTTTCTGACAACAGGTACCAGTAGAGAAACTGGGAGTAAATTCCTTAAGTGTGGAAACTGATTCGAGTCCTCTACCAATTCTGTTCACTAATAGAGAAAAAAAAAAGCATTGGCTGGAGTTTCATTGTTATTTCCTTCCTGTAATCCTCAGCATGCATGTCAGTTTAAGGAATTCTATACTGTGAGCACTAATGAAAGCATTGCTCCCAGTATCTGAGCATTTATTGCTGCAGCTTGCCCTCCTCGTTCAGTGGAGGTGTTGATACCAATTTTGGCTTTATCGGATGCACATAAAGCCTTGAACTGAAGGGAATTGCAGAGGATTTGACACCAGTAGAAAGCACAATTCTTTACTGTATATCATGTTTCCAACACTTAAACCATTGACAACTCTATTCTGCACTGTTAATCATCTAGTTATATTAATTAGAACATATATTCTGTATATAGGTACTGAACTGGGAAATTGGTAAAATAACCACACAGAAGCTTCCTAACTTGAAGGGAATTGTATCTCTACAATCAGGGGCCCCAAAACCAGAAGAAAACCCCAGCTTAAATATCAACTTTAAGATACAACAGGTTGCAGTCTCAGGTAACTTCTATTTAGTTTCTGAAAGTGTTGTTATTACTGTGTTCTTATGGATTTTTCGACACGTACACTTATGATCATGGTACAATGTGGAAATGAAGTGGGTTGAAGGAGCTTATGCTTGGGATTCTGGATAACCCCATGAACACTGCAATAAACTTACATATTTCTAGCAACATTTTCCACATAAACAGAGCTCAGTAACGAGCCCGTCCCATACTAGTGAGAGAGATGGATCCTGATTTTAGTGGGCTACTGCAATTTTCCCTTTTAGAGTCATATTGTAACATACCATTTACAAATTATAACTGTAGATGAACATCCATGAATACCTGCTGTGAGACTTCTTCCATATGGTAGACATTCTCCTGACGTCTCCAAGAATTTCCTTAGAGTGGCATGATACCCATGCTGATATGGCAAGCATTTCAAATGGTCTTAGCTAATTTGCTGTGAATCTGGCATGTACAACATATAAAACAGCCCTCCACATAATTTTTTGGGCTGAGAAAGTTGAAGCCTCCTTTTTGCACCTCCCCATATTCAGTGTTTTTTTCCTTTCTATGTTAATGCATTCTTCCTCATTTGGATAGCCGTTACTATGAAAGCAGGGCAGTGAATCGTTTACCTATACTGTTAGTGTTTCACTACATGTGAAATACTCATACATTGACTTACAAGTGGCATACACATCATTTGTATGTGTGTTGGGACTTGAGAAAAGAGTAAAGTATTTGTCTACTTGGAATACTGCTTTTCATTACCTTGGTCTTGACATTCAGCAGACATCAGAATTCTCTAGTTAAATATGTTCTTTACTCCATAGGGCTCAAAGTGAATCGGCTGGACATGTATGGAGAGAAATACAAACCTTTCAAAGGAGTGAAGTATCTGACCAAAGCAGGAAAGTTCCAGGTGCGCACATAACACGCACCCCACAGGGCAAGTACTAAACCACGAGCTGGCCTTGCAGTTTGGAATTACTGCTTATGTTTCCAAACATTTTCTTGTTCACCCAGGAAAAAGTTTACACTAAATGTCAAGGCTGTGGAAGATGTCGGCATTTGAACTGCCAAAAAAAAAATTAATAGAAAAAGGGAGCAAAATGGACTGATCATATATTTATGTTTGATTCATTGGTATGTGGATTACTAGGGAAAATGTTATGACTCGTCAAGGTGGCCAGTGGCTTTACTCTGGGATTGTCCTTTATGCTGCTCGATTCAGGTGGTAAACACAATGTTACATCTGTAATAAGACAATTCAGTTACCCCAAGCCGTCAAATAGTAAATGCAGCTTGATGACGGTCTTTGTAAATGACGTATAAAAGAAAAGCACTATTCACGAGTATGTCTCCACTGAATCCTGATCTGACCTTCCAAGCCACCAGAACACTGTAGCTCTGATGTCAATCACCAGTTCTTCCGTATAGTACACACCTAAAATCAGTAGTCTGTGTTTAGTGCCACAACCTAGTGTACTACAACAGTGAGCACCACAATGCCCTTCAGTACCAGTTGTCTTGGGTATTCCTGCCTTCCTTATGACCAAAATAAATGCCTTACCCCTTTCACTGAAAGAGGTCTGGCTCCAGTCAGAGCCTCTGTCAGTGAAAGGAAATTTTCACCAGTGCCATCAGCAACATAGCTGGTATAGCAAACTTGTTATTTTAGAAAATGTTATTTTTTATTTAAAAATGGATGTGTTAATATAACCAGAGTCATAATGTTTATATGAGGGCTTATGTAGCAATGCTTTGTGTCTATGTAAAAGGCCAAAATTAATTACTTTTCATCACTGTTTGGAAAATAAATTGTACGTTTCTGTATAAAATAAAAAAATTCTGCCCATCTTGTAAGTGTTCTGCTGGCCTTGATCTAGGTTTATATGACCTGAATTATTCTACAAGCCATTATTTCCTTTATGGTAGGATTCTTTTTCTATCTAAAATCTGTAGCAAATGAGAGGTAGCTGATCACTGTAACAGCCTCTATGCATCACAGGTAACAAGTAATCTCTATAGAAGGCTGTAGACTGGGGAGCTGGTACTGGGTTATTAGATGAGGAACCTTGGCAATTGGACAAAATGTCTAGAGCAAGCCATATGCATTAAGAGGATAGTTGGATGGACAGACATTACCTAAACGTGAACACTTTCCTTCAGTACAGACCCTGTGGAGAGGTAGGTTTGGTGTGTTTCCAAGACAGAGTGCTCATTGGGGAAAGCAACTTAAAGTTTTGTACAATTAGTGGCTCAAATACACCACTGTGTTGTAAAGACTACCTATTGTTTACCCTTTCTTCTGTACAGTTAGGTTTTTGGCTTAATCAGCAGATTGCTTTGTGTACATGTTATGAGGGACTCATTGGTACTTTTTTTAATTGATTAGTCCCAGGTCTTATCCAGCAGAACTGCTCAAGTGGGATTCTTTTTTTTGGTACAGCAAGTGCTTCAGTCCCATTCTGTTGTAGACAAAGTAATGCAGCTTCTGTGAGAAATCAGAAAATGCTATATAGACTGAGGATATACTATTGATTCTCTCTTTCTTCTTGCCCACGTTTTGTTTATTTCACTCGCAGCACATTGAACGATATGTCCTATAATCTAGCTGACTGCTAACCAGTGGCAATCTCAATTTCCCATCAACAATATAACTGGAGTTTGAAAACCATTTCTTTGTATGATTAATCTTGATTTTTGTTTTTCTGCAATATTTAGTCAGTAGGGTCAAAATGAGGCACATTCTTTGGGAATTTGAATGAGGTGGAACAGGAGGGGGGAGTTTCACAGCATCCATGTGTGTGGCCACCGTGCCTGTAGGAACCACAAGATGTTTCATTGTCCTCAGGTACTCGAGTCCCAAAAGAACATTTCAAATATATTGCCAAATCCATGCAAGTGTTGCCACCTTTATTAAAATAAGACACTTAAAAGCAAATCTGAAGTATATAAATTGTTTATTGGTTTGTACTGACAGGAACAAAGCTGAATCAGAGATTTAGTGTAATGATACATTTTGTTCTTACAGTGTATCCCAGGACACAGTGCAGGTTGGATATTACGTAACCCTTCCACTCCACAAAGGGCCCCTAATCAACAAGAAGTTGACTAAAATACTATCAGACTCTGCCGTAACTGTTTTCAGTCATATATACCAAGTGCAGTATATAGAATAACTGCAAACAATTGGGGAGTTTAACATAAATGCTCTACAAACAAAAATATAAGTCTTTGGTTTTAACTAATATTAGAGCTGTGTGGGTTAAAAGGCATTAAGGCATTTTCCATTCAAATACAATCTCATTTCCCACATTATAAACCAAAACTGTACACAAAAGGCAAATCAAGCGGTGGCTTAATTCCCAGCCCTCCAGTGTGTACATGCTTGGACATTCATTGGGATTGACCAGATACCTCCAGTCAACACATTGTGAGAAATGAAGCCACACGTGAGATGGAAGAGCAGGATGTAGAAGGCAAGTCATTCAGTCTGAGTGATGAAATAACTACACATTCACCTGCATCAACCTCTGCGACAGTAAGCAGAAAGCTGGAATTCCAACCAAATCAAAAGGTTATTGCCTCATCTTCAAGAGTTATACATGACGCTATAATGAAGAGCTAACTGGCAAGCAATAATAGTGTAAAGGCAAAGCTACTTCCACAGGCCTCTCGTTTATTCAGATGTGATATTATTCACATCTCAAAAGTTCAAGTTTGTGTAGGTTTATCTCCATAAATGGCACCAGGTTTGATCTTCACGTCTCAGAAGTCTTGAGGTCATATACACAAATCTAATCATCTTCCATGCATTCTGAAAAACCAGCAACACTCTGCTACCAACAGCACTGGTGCTGGATCACACAAAAGGTAGAAGTGCTGCTATTATACATTCATCAATTATGACACATTGCTCTTCTAATCTGAAGGACATTTCATTAATATATGCTAGGATGCCAAGTCACAGTCCTCTGCATAGACTGGGAGATACGATATGGGCCCTACATGATGAACATATCAAAGCACCAAAGAGTATGGATGAGTTTAGTGTTTTACATTTCATAGTGATACCTGCACTATACTATCTTGGGCTGTGCTCAGCAGAAGAACAAGATGGCTGTTTGGGCTAAGGTGTGACAAAGCAGAAAGAAACAGATCAAGTTGTGCAATCTGATGTATTGCATTGAACTCTCCCCAAACAAAAACACAGTTATTCTGCAGTAAGTATGTGCAGAAGAGTCAGGCTAAAGGCCATGAAAACGATAGAAAAAAAAAAACAAAAAATAGTGAGTTAAGCAACTTACTGATGGAGGAGCCAAATTACTGTTAGACAAAAAAAAAAAAAAAAATGTCTGTCTAACAATCTGGAGGCTCACTTAGAAAGCAAATTCATCATCAGTTTCCTTTCAGTTACACAGTATTAGTGTGCTTTGTACAGTAGGGAAATGTGGCTATATTCCATCCCAGTGTGGAGAAGTTACTGGTACCATGGGATTTTCCGTGCCCAACGCAGCGTGAATCCAGCATCTGTCCGGATCTTGATTGATGCAGCTTCAGCTTCCCTTACAGTCTCCTTTACTGACTGCATCAGGTTCTGTGCATTGTGGACAAGCATTTCTGTTGCCTGCATTTACAAAAACAGAAATTTACAGGTATTCATAAGTGAATGACAGAAGCAGGTGCCTTTTTCTGTCTAAATGTTCAGCTTCTTTACAATAGGTGTATGAACCTATAAGCCAAGTTATCTGGCACACATGACTTTCTAATCGATTCAGGGACACGGGAAGTTTTTAACTCCCCCCACCTACCTAACAGTATACCTCAGTTTTTTTTCTAGTGTCCTAGGGGGAGTGACATCTTTTCTTCAGCTCTGCTATTGTAAAGACAGACCTGTGTTTTTCCAGCAATTCTTTTCCCCCCAGTCAAAACACATTCTCTAGATCACTGCCGGGCATTTCCCCTCTAATCACAGCTGTCTGGCATAATCATTCTCAGTTAGGCTTTTGGACTGTACAATATCTAAACCCGATTGGACGTGATGTCTGGGTGTTGGGTTTTGCATGAGGGGCTTCACCGATGCTGTTCTGACAAAGTGAACATACAGCATTTTCCAGATCCAAAGCCGGTAGCACTGCCTCTGCACTAGCCTTTTCTCTGGGGACACACTTAGTAAGTAGGCTGGTCAAACTGTTGGTCGCTGGATGCCATTATTTCCAGTATTCAGCCTCTTTACCTTGGAAAGAGGTTAATGCTGTGGGACTGAGCACTAGCGTCATTCAATGAGTGGCGTGTAGTTAATGCTCTTACCCACCCTGCATTGAGAAGGCACCTCTCCAGTTATTCCTGTTGCAAAAAACCACCCTCACTGACCCTCGTCTGCTACCAGGTGGCCTTACCTCTTATCATGAATGTTGCTTTACCACACTTGCAGCCACCACATGACATGATTCTAAACAATGGCTGCTCCACACTCACTTTCTAACAGGCAGGAACAGTTTGCAGCATGCCCGCTGATGGTACAGATATCTGCAGTCTGGAATAATGTTGTCCTTGCTGTTAGACTCTCTACTATTTTCACAGTCCTATGTAGCCCAGTCAGACGTAGCTTGGTCCTTTGCCCTCCTGGCCAAGTTATGCAGGACTTTCTGACTCAAATTACTGTTCCTGCTGCACACTTGCAATCACTACGGTCACCCTCTGGCCATCCATCCCACCCTACCAGCTGTCCAAGCATTGAGTCCTAGCCCCTTACCCGTAGCATAACCTTTGCCTTACCATGCCTGAATCTAGACACAGGGGGGAGCAGTCCCATTCTGGTTCCCCCCATCCACATTCTGTCAACAATTCTTCATTTTGAACCTGTTTTTACAACTGTTTCTATACAAAAGTTTAAATGTGTCCTGGAAGACTGTTCACTCCCCCTAA